AAAAAAAAAAAAAAAAAAAAAAAAAAAAAAATCAGGAGATTTCAAATACAAATACAGGTCTTTTATTCCCCAGGGAAACTGCCCATCTGGTGAATCTGTACTCTTTTGGGCAATAGTCATGCAAACAAAAATAAAGCCTAAGGTCGGGTGTGGTGGCTCAAGCCTGTAATCCCGGCACCTTGGGAAGCCCAGATAGGCAGATTACTTGAGTCCAGGAGTTCTAGACCAGCCGGGAAACACAGCGAAATCCCATCTCTACAAAAGTACAAAAATTAGTGTGGTGGTGTGCACCTATGATCCTAGCCACTCGGGAGGCTGAGGTGGGAGGATTGCTTGAGCCTGGGAGGCAGAGGTTGCAGTAAGCCAAGACTGCACCATTGCACTCCAGCCTGGGCAACAGACCAAGACTCTGTCTCAAAAAATTAAAAAAAAAATAAAGCCTAGAAGAGCTCTTGGGGGCTGGTAGCGGAGGAACCCTCAAAGAAAATGTGGCCTCTGCTAAGGACCAAGTATCATAGTCATTTTATGCAGACAATGCTTTGGAGGCCTAGAAGGAAGAGGGGTTAACTCTGCTTGGTGGAATCCAGGAAAGCTTTCCAGAAGAGATGACTCTCAGCTGAGTCTTGAAGGATGCGTATGAAAGAAATGTCCAAGAAATAGAGGGGAATGAAAGGCTAGTCATAAGAAGGGGCAGGGTACAGGTAGAGAAATCCATGCAAGATAGAGAATGATGATACATTCTTGTGGGGCCAGAGTACAGGATACAGGAGGGGGAAGGGCCAGTAAGAAAGCTGGAAATGAAGCCTAAGCAAAATGGTGAAACCCTGTCTCTGCAAAATTAAATTAGCTGGGCATGGTGGCATATGCCTGTAGCCCAGCTACTTGGGAGGCTGAGCTGGGAGGATCACTTGAGCCCAGGAGTTCAAGACCAGCCTGGGCAACATGGCAAAATGTCTCTACAAAAATCAGCCAGAAGGACATCGGCCAGATGATGTTGCCAAAGCCTTACTCTAACGGCTGTGTGGGGAATGGGCTGGATACGGGGAAAGATGGAGGGCTGTAGGCCAACATCTTATCCTAAGAGAGGAAGCTTCCTTCCTTCTTTTTTCTCTCTTTCCCCTTTCCCACTTTCTCCCTTTCTCTCTTTCTTTTTTTCTGAAACAGGGTTTCACACTGTTACTCAGGCTGGAGTGCACTGGTGTGACCACATCTTACTTTACCTCCCAGGCTCAAGTGATCCTCCTGCCTCAGCATCCCAAGTAGCTGGGACCACAGGTGTGCGCCACCATGCCTGGCTAATTTTTAATTTTGTTGTAGAGACAGAGTCTATGTTGCCTAGGCTGGTCTTGAACTCCTAGGCTCAAGCAATCCTCCTGCCTTGGCCTCCCAACAAATATGAACTACTTGCCCAGCCCTGGTTCTTCCCAGCCCCATATTTGGCAATCAGGGTAGTTCCCCACCAGGCCATGAGAAGTGTCCTCAAAGCTGAGAGAGTAGACCTGGCCCAACCAGTTCTCTTGGCTTGGAGGACAGAAGCATGGGAATACATTCTTTGTTCTCTCTGCCCACCAGCAAATGTTCCCTCCCCCTCCCAGTTCACATCAGGGGAAACTCTTCAGCTGGGAAAAATAAGTATACCATTAGCGCATTCTATCTAAGCAAGCCTTTATATACTGCTTATAAAACTGTAAACTCCTTTTGGCTTATACAACTTCCCTCCCTCTAGGACTGAGCATTGTCGGGCACATAGGAGGTACTCAATGAACATATATCAATCTAAAACAAGGATACTTTCACAGGACCTTGGTAGTTGTACATTCACTGCTGACTCTAAGAGACCCAGAGCACTGTGTTCTCTGACCACCATGACCACCACCACCACCATCAACAACAAAAATAGCATGGGATTTGGTAAGAGGCCTTAGATTTCAGTCTTGGTTCAGCCACCCAAGAGCTCTGTGGCTGTAGACAAGCCACAGAACCTTGCTGAGACTTGGTTTGCTTATCGATTAAAAAAACAAAAAACAACCCCAAAACCAAAATGTTCTAAGGTACAAGAGTGCACCTGGAAGCATTGTGCAAACTTGTAAAGTGCTATATGACCAAAATGTGGTATATCTGTAAATGGAACATTATTCAGTCATAAAAAGAAATGAAGTACTGATACATGATACCATATGAATGGACCTTGAAAACACGAAGCTAAGTGAAAGAAGCCAGACACAAAAGCCCCGTATTGTATGATTCCATTTCTACAAAATGTCTAGAACAGGCAAATTCATGGAGACAAAGCAGATTAGTGGTTTGTAGGGAGAAGAGACTGAACTTTGAGTGCTTAATGGGTATGTGGTCTCCTTTTGGAGTGATGAAAGTGTTCTGTAGCTAGTGGTGATGGTTGTACATTATGATTGTGCTAAATGCCACTTAATTGTACATTTCAAAATGGTTAAAATGGCACCCAATTTCATGTGTGTGCACTTTACCGCAATTCTAAAAAGTCAAAAAAGTGTTATATGAAGGTTAATCAGCTTGAGAAGTCATTGATTTTTGCATTCAACACGCAGCCTCCAATTCATTTTTTGGCACTGAGAGAACTTGCAAGGAGTAGCTGCATCTCCACTAAGAAGCCTCTTCTGAAGATAACTGGGATGGGGGTGCGAGAGGGAAGAAGGAGCTCTGGCCCATCTGAAAAGTTTTCCTTCTGGATGGTATTTGTTTCGTAGATTGCCAGTTGTTCACCCTGTTTGTATTTAAATGAAAGGAGGCTTTGAAGTGGGAGCCACCTCGAGCAGGGCTTGGGGTTCCTGCCTCCCTGGGTAAAGTTCAGGCTTGTCCAGATCTGTTTATAGCCAGAGGTTACTGTTTCTGGTAGAAAACGTTCAAGTTTGGGTTAATAATACACTAAGAGCAGGAGTAAACTTAGGGTGGGAGGGGGCGGCAAGGAATGAGTTCCTCCCAGCCTTGGTGTGAGAAGCACGTTTCTGATTTGGCCTTCATGGTTTAGGAATATAATTTTCTCTCTTATGGTTACTGGTTTCCATTTTATACTAATGTTGCTTGCATCTCAGAGCCCATTCTCCTTGGTGAAGAACATCTTTAAGTAAATGCATCAATCGATGAAAATTAAAAGTGCTCAGCTAAGCCCTAGCAATGCCTTCACAACTTGATGGTTATCAGTTTAAGGAAAACTTGGATTATTTGAAAGTCCCTTGAAAATGACAGGAAATTCAACTGTAGTTGAGTTTGCACATTTAAAAAACCTGCCCTCCTAGTTTCAGAGTTAAATGCTCTGCCAGCCCACAGAAATTGGAAGTCTCAGTTGTAGACGGGTCACTATCTGTTTATGTTGATGGTCTGTAAGAGTTAACAAAACATAGAAGAGTCTGCAACTGGGCATTCAAAACAACAGCTCCTCATAGCCAGCCATGTCAACGTGGTTTACAAACAACAGTGGAGAAAGCTCAACAAGCCCTCTCAGGGTGATAACTGTAATGATGGTTCGTATCCTTGCCCTATGTAATTTTATGGGAATTGAGAGTCTAGCCAAATAATAAGTTCCAGCCTTTTTTATCTGCCCAGTTCCCAGCACACTCCCGAGGTGTCTGAGGCACTTCTCACCCTAACCTCTTAAAGCAGATTGTAACAATAACAATGATAATGACAAGTTCTCGATCTGCACAGTTCCCTTCATTTAAGGAGCCCTGGGAGCTTCAAAAAAACACTCATTAATGGGACCTGACAAAGCTTGCAAGATGGGAAGACTCGCATTTTCCAGTTTTCTGGTGGAAAAGTGGGGACTGAGTCTCAGAGGGGTGTCAGTCTCTCTCAAGGGGTTTGGGGGGTAGGGGATTTGGGGGTCCTGGGCTACCATTATTCCATGAAATTCGGGAGTCAAGAGTCCCGGGTTCTGGACACCCCCTTCCCGTGCGTGCTATTAGCAACTTGCTTCCCTTTTCTGGGCCCCAGTTCCCCTACCTAATAGAAACAAGGGTTGAGCCAAATGGTCTCCAAGATCTCTGCGGTCAACCCTGACTTTGCCGCCTCACCTCGCCGTTGGGGATTTCTCCCGCTTCAGGGTTCGGTTCGATTTGTAGAACCGGGTGGGGGATGGGAGTGGCGTCGAGGGTTGTAGTGTAGCGGATGAGGGAAGAATGCTTGCCGGGGTCCTGGACAAATTAGCGTTTCACGAGTACTGTTCGATGAGAAGCAGGTTTGGGAAGACCAGGTGAGGCTCTAGGACGAGCTCGGAGACCCAAATCCCCCTACTGCCTGCAAGCGAAACAATGCGACTAATGTGGACGCCTTCCCGGCCCAGCCCCGGAGCTGCGCGGATAGGAACGTCCGCGGGTGCGGGATGGTGGCGGGGAGGCGGATATCGCCGCAGGAGGGCTCCGCGCAGCTTTTGCCCGCAAGCGGTGGGTCAGGTGGCCGCGCGCAAGAAGGCCTGCGGCTCAGACCTGGGCTTCGGGACAAGTCCCAGGCCGCCCGGTTCCCTGGGACCTGAGCCCGTCAGCCCGGAGTAGTTGGCGTTCCCTTTGCGGTTGGGGGGCGGTAGGCTGGCTCCCCGCCTCCGAGGAGGAGGGGAGGAAGGAGGAGCCGGGTGGGGCGTGTCGCGCGAAAGAGCGCCGGGCGCCCGGTGCGGCCCCCTAGGAAGTGGATTTGGCCGCTCCGGATCCAACCCCACTTCCAGGTTTTCTCCCGGCCCGGCCCAGCTTGCTCCCGCCTGTCTCCGGCCCCCCCCCCACGCCCCCCCCCCCCCCCCCCCCCCCCCCCCCCCCCCCCCCCCCCCCCCCCCCCCCCCCCCCCCCCCCCCCCCCCCCCCCCGTGCCGCCCGCTTGGCCAAGTTTGCGAGCGTCGCCGCGCACGCCGGCCAGTCAATCAGCGGCAGAGCTGAGAAGGGCACAGCCGCGCGGCGGAGGGCAGAGGCAGCCGAGCCGAATCCAGCCGAACGAGCGCACCAGCGCAGGGCAGTCGGAGCAGCGCGCAGCGAGCGCCCGCCGCTGCCCACACCCTCCGTGGTCCCCGCGGCGCCTGCTACGTTCCCCTCCTTCCCTGCGTCTCAACCTCGCCAGCCGGCCAGCTTGCCGGGTTCGCTTCCCTGCGGAACCCCTAGGTCACCGGCCCGCGCCTTTGCTCCCCTGGGCCGCGCGCCGCCTCCACGCCCTCCTTCTCCGGCCAGGCGCCTGGCACCGGGGACCGTTGCCTGACGCGAGGCCCAGCTTCACTTTTCGCCCCGCGTCTCCTCCGCCTGCTTGCCTCCTCCACAACTCCAACTCCTTCGCCCTCTAGCTCCACTCGCTAGTCCCTGACTCCTCCAGCCCTCGGCCCGCTGCCGTAGCGACGCTTCCCGTCCCGTCCCAAAGGTGGGAGTGCGTCCGCCCCGGCCCGCACCATGGCACGGTTCGGCTTGCCCGCGCTTCTCTGCACCCTGGTGGTGCTCAGCGCCGCGCTGCTGGCTGCCGAGCTCAAGTCGAAAAGTTGCTCGGAAGTGCGACGTCTTTACGTGTCCAAAGGCTTCAACAAGAACGATGCCCCCCTGCACGAGATCAACGGTAGGTGGGCACCCCCAGGAGGTGGGTGCAGAGACGGACACCTCGGGAAAGGGGACGCGACCCCCTTTCCCCGCCCCGCCGCCCCTTGCGCTGGACGCAGGTACACTAGAGAGAGAAATGGGCAGTGGAGACAGCAGGAGCGAGCGAGCGAGCGAGCCGGCCAGCCAGCCAGCTCGGACGCAGGACGTTCCCTGCGGGCGCGGCGCTCCCCCCTCCCCCAACACTGCCAGTGGAGGGGCGACGCCGGGTTGCCCGGTGCCACTGTCGCGCTCCACTGCCACCCTCCGCTTCCCCTTCCCTCGCACTGTTCGCGGTCCCGGGAAGCCCCTGAGGACTCTGGCCCTCAAAGTGCGTGTCACCGGCTCCCTCGTCTTTTCCGGTTTGAACTCCTTACAGGACGCCCAGCTTTGTTGTATGGATGATGAGAGGCCGAGGGGGGTGGGGGTCGCCAGTGGGGTGTGGTAGATGGAAACCTCCCGGATCTTGCCAGATTCTGGGGGTCACAAAACGTGGAACTTGATGTTTCATTGATGTTCTTTTAAAACGCTTTCCCCGCCTCTCTCGCACCGCTGACACGGATTAGGAGTTTTAGTAGCTGCAACGGCTTTAGAAGTCGCCTTTAAAAAGCAAACGACTACTCTCACTCTCCACCCCTCCAAACCATGACTTTTGGGAACTCTCTTCCTTTCCAGGAGGTATCGGACCAGAAGGGTATTTTCCCCCTCTTTCTTTTTTCTTACCTCATTTTAAGGGTTAATTGCTCTTTCAATTACAGACCTTTGAAAGGACTGATTACAGGAAACCTGAATCTCAGTTTGGAGATGGTTATGCAAATGGGACGGCTTAGCCTGTGAAAAAGTTCACCGGATTTTGGCGCCAGTGGGGTGGGATGGGGGTGTATGGGGGTATTTGTGAAAGCCCCTCTTAGAGCGCTGGGGAGGCAGCGTTTGGCGGGTGTCCTGAGTCCCTCCCGGCAAGGACGCCGGCGGTGTTCGGCCGGGTCCCCTCCGAGTCGCACGCACTTCTTCGCAACGGCCAACTGTTGAGCGCAGCCCCGCCGTCCGCTCAGGTAGCCCGTTCGCCCTGGGGGTTCAGAAAGCACCACGAATCTAGCTGGCTGGTGGCCAGTGTAATTTAATGGAGGAGTGAGAAATTCGAGCCCGGAAGGCCGAGCCTCCACTCCGAACTTTTCATGGAAGTGAGTGGAGCGCGCCTTTGCCTTGAGGTGCTGGTCCCCGGGTGGGGCAGGCAGGGGGCCGGCAGCCAGCAAAGGAAATACTGTAATTTCAACCAGGCGCTTCCAAAGGCCTAGGAAGACTTGGGGGTCATTTTTTGGAAGAGCTATTAATAACCTTGGAGATTAAGTGCAGTCATCAATTTCATATAAATTACAAAGGTAATTGAGGGAAGTTGCTGGGCACTTTTGGAGTGTAACTGGCATCTGTATAGAAATAGAACCGAAGAAATAAATTGTTGGAGCAGCCCAGGTGCCCAGTGCACCTTGGCAGTTACCAAATAACGTGGTCGCTACTGATTAGACACTGTTTGCCCTTCAGCTGCCTGTCTTTTGGGGAGCTCATGTCCTCAAAGCGGCACGATTTTATTGGTCGTAGAGCCCTGAAAAGCCCTCTTTCTTTCCCTTCCTCCTGCCCCGCCAAAAAAAAAGTGAAGTGAACCAGCAGCCACTGAAGCTTGGGGGCTCTGCAGGTCAAACCTGGGGCCTTTGTGCCCTACACAGTTTGGGCCTGGGCACAGCGGACATGATTGGCGTGAAGGTTACAGTTGTCATTCCCACATTTTGAAGGGGTAGATGCAGCTCTGCACTTAATGGGAATGTGACAAGGTTTCATCTTCTGCTCATGTGAACAATATGTGCCTTTGATATTGACTGCAGGCATTCAGGGAGTGGGTTGTGAAATTGCCCTCCCCAGTTTCTCCAACTTTGCTCTGTGCAGTCTTTCGCTGTGGCGGAGCATCTTCCCCAGCCAGCATCTCAGGAAAAAGGAAGCTTGAAGAGTACTCACAGACTCTGTCCTAGGTGTTCCCTTTGATTTCATCATCCCCAGAAAACACCTGAGAGATATTTTGCATATATGTCTATCTGGACATTCCCCCAGGCCAAAGATAGGGGAGTTATTAGTGACCAGCAGCAGGAAATGGAAGCTAATGTGCTCACACCCAAAACATTTTATTCTTTTTGTCTTGTCCTTCATCTCCCTCCCAGGGCTGCTGCTTTTATTTCCCCTTTTGAATGACCTACTGGACTGCATTCTCCTGAGGAACAAAGGAAGTGCCTTTTTAGCTGGAATCCTTGGAAGACCACCAAGGACTTTAGCTCATGCAGTGCAATTTCGCACCACTTTCAACAATAACAAAAATGCATGACTGAATGGCTCAAAAATGTGGAGTGTTAGAGGCATTCATTTGAGTCTAGGACACTGTCACAACACAGACAGACCCAAGTAAATACCTTTAGACGGCCAGTATAGAAATAGGCGTAATCTTTACAATCGCCCTGGCCTCTCAAGATGCATACATTAGCCTTGTCTTCTCTGGGCTACACTAAGATAATTTTGGTCATTTTTTAAGGGGGATAGTCAATATAGTGACTTGTATTCAGCCTAGGTCTGAAGGGATTAATTGCCCCGCGCTTACCCTGGGTTGGGGGATGTGCTTTTTTCAGTGTAAAACACCCAGGATCATTTTCCAGGTGAAGTATCACGAAGTCTGTGTGCCTAGCTCATTGAGCTCCATGCTTAGCCCAAGTTTAATGTTTTATTCCAGATGGCCTTGCACTTGCCTTCTAGAGGTTTGAACAGGCTTTAAGAATGCTCCATGTTCTGAAGGAGTCTCAGTCTTTATAGATCATAATTAGGATAATCTGATGTGCTCTCAAGGGTGTCAGGGAGTACATCATGCTGACAGGGGCTTCCAACTGAGGTTCTGCATTGCCTGTCTGCTTGACTGCTGTACTTTTCAAATAATGCTGAGTCCAGCCAGGCACACACAAAATTAGAATACAACACAGTGTGTAAGTACCGTATGAGTGATACAGATGATGAGAAGGGAGTGCCCAAGCATTTCCAAGGGAGAAGGGATTTAGGACTCTAATACTATAGGATATTAACTAGTAATGCTGGTTCACTAGTAAAAATGAAAATGCTAGTGATAGTAAGTTTAAAAATTTTACCATTTTTGTTTTGCCCCCCCCCGCTCCATAAAGACAGAGAGTAAAGGGTATACAACAATGGGCATTTTATTAATCATCCATGCTGAAATTGTTTTTAACAGTGAAGTGGCCGGGCGCGGTGGCTCATAATTGTAATCTCAGCACTTTGGGAGGCCGAGGCAGACAGATCACGAGGTCAAGAGATCGAGACCATCCTGGCCAACATGGTAAAACCCCGTCTCTGCTAAAAATACAAAAATTAGCTGGGCATGGCAGCACGAACCTGTAGTCCCAGCTACTCGGGAGGCTGAGGCAGGAGAATCGCTTGAACCCGGGAGGCAGAGGTTGCAATGAGCTGAGATTGTGCCATTGCACTCCAGGCTGGTGACAGAGTGAAACTCTGTCTCAAAAAAAAGAGTGAGGCAATGGGTTAGAAATTTTCTTGAACTTGCAAAGGTCCCCTTCACAGTGACATTGAACGATACTCAGAACTTTGTGCCTTAGTTGCAATTTTGGAGTTTTTATTTCTTGTTCCCTTTTGCGTTCATGAGCAATGCGCTTATGATCATGTGCCCAAACCCACACTCTCATATGCATATACACAGAGGATTCCAGGACTCCTATAGGCTGTTAGGATTATATGGAAAAAGGTGTGCGTGTATGTGTGTTAGAGAGGTAGCAATACTTTCCTTTCTAATAGTGAGTTGATTATATATGACACACACAGTATGTGTCTTTAAGATTTATATTCCCCCTTCCGCACCTTAAATAATGTGTTGGATTTTGCAATGAATTTGTGATCTCCTATTTTGTTGGAATCATCAGTTTGGCTCTGTGTTTCACTTGGACAGGGTCTAATTGAGCCACAGGGCCTATCACTATAGAAATTGTCCCAAGTATTTTACGGGAGGTATCCTCTGGGCATGTTCAAAAAAGAATTTAGTAGAAGTTTTGGCTTATGCAGCTCAATCTCTGGTTAGAACATATAAAATGTCTGATTCGGCATAATTACTGTTTTCATTTTTTATTTGATTCACGTTGGGTTGCATGCAATTTCAGGATTAACTGGAGACTAGACTGAGGAATGAAAAAGGAAGTTTTTTGTTATCTGTACAAGGGAAACAACATTATTGTTAATCTGAGGCAGTTGGAAGTGAGTCTCTCTGGCTCTCCAGTGACATTAACTGTTTTAACACTGAGGTTTTTTTCTCATTTATGTTTTGAAAAACGTATTTTGGCCTCGTGATAAGAGTTCGTAGCTATTGAATATTACCTCTGGGCCTGGCCCCATACCAAGGAACTTACATGATTGTCTCATTTAAAACCCACAACTGCCATATGACATCAGAATTATCACCTCCATTTGACAGACAAGAAAACAGATTCAAAGGGATGACGAAATATGTTCACAGTCTTATAGCTAGTGAATAACAGAGGTGGGATTTGAATCAAGGTCTTACCTATTCTAGAGTATAGTTCGTGCTATGTTGTACAGATAGTAAGACAAGAAAGTACCTTCTCTATTGCCATAGAGTTTGTTGAGATATAAACTATGGGAGGACCTTCAGCTAGTAAGGGACCATCATCAAAATAGCACAATTTTCACACCATAGTGGAGAGGGTCCAGTCACATCTTTGGTAGACAAAATGTCAAACCCAGATATAGACAATCTGGTATTAATAGTAGAAGGAATATAAATTGTATTTCCTGGACAATGCAATTGAGGAGCCAATGAGGGTTTCTGAGGGAGGGGAATGTCGTCAGTCAAGCTGTTTTGGGAAGATAACTAGTGGCTCTTTGGGTTAAGGGTTGGCGAGACAAGAGATAAAG